TGGAAACGGGCCAGTGGTCCGCCCATGTACAGCCACTACCTCAACCATCAAAAGAAAAGGAACAACCCATAGCCTGCGAGCCAGTCACGCAGCATCTCTTGCCCGGGGAGAAAGTCTCCTTCCAAACTTCTTCCATTTATATTACTGGGAAAAAAGGTTTATGTTCTGCCATATTTATACGTCAGTTTATGTATTTCTGTTTGTATGGGAGTTATTGCTAAAGCTGTGATCACAGGACAGGATGGTGTGCTTCGGCTTCAAACAAGGAGCAACAGGATGTTAGATGATGTTGTGGGATACCACATGACAAATATTTTAATGGCATTAGTTATAAATGTTTTAACACCATCCACTGCTTCATAAACCCCAGACCCAGAGCTTCACCATCACTGACCCTTTTGCAAGCAGTGAGCCACTCCAATCATTTCCCTGTGGTACGAAGTATTTCTCCCCATGTGTATCATAGCCTTGAAGGCTTCAACATCTCCTTCTGCAGAAACTTCAGCATGCAGTCCTGCTCCCGTCATTGTTGTGAGAGACACATTTTTTTGTTTATATGTTTTTGAGGTGATACGGCTTGAACTGAGGGACTAGGAGTAAGGGTATCAGTATTCTGTAGAAATGTCAGAACGTATTTCATCTCTAGCTCATCAGCACCCTATTTGCTTGTCCTAGGCCGACATCTCCATGCCTAGAGCCCTGACTTTTGAGGATTCTGGAGGTTCACATTAGACTATTTAGTTTATTTTTTTATTAGGAATTAGTCTGTGTTTATCCAACTCAAATTTTCCCTTGCTGCTTTTTGTCTGCTTTTTCAACTAATTCAAATCCATCTGTAGTCTTTTACAACCTTCTGCAATTTATGCTAATCTTGAACAGATTTCATTTTATGATTAATCACTTCTTCCTGCAAATCAGCAGTTGGAAACATTGAACTAAGTTCTTGGACACAGTTGTCTGTCTTCTCTACAGAACTTGTAATTGTTAGAGAATTTTTGTTCTCTACCCACAATTTAAAAGGTTTTCTTTTTCTCCACTCACCAAAAGTAAAATAAAAATACAATGTGAGTTTTGTGCTGATCCTAAAGCACTTTACAAGGAGGGCATAATTCCTATGTTGCAGATTCAGGAACTGATGCACATGCATCAGTGGCAAAGGATTGTGTTCAAGGACACAGCAAGCAGTTTGTGGGGAAAAGTATGCAAGAATCCAGAGCCCATTCAACTAAACCATCTCCTACAGTATTTCTGCTTACATGCTATTCACCACTGACTCACAACTGTCTACTATGACTTGGGAGCCTCCATCAATTAAATCTATCATAGAATTATTTTTATAGAATCATAAATTACTTTTGTCAATTTTAATAACAGTTGCTTGAACAAGAAAGTAACAAGATTATACAGCCTCTAAAAAGAAAGGAATTCAAAGTTATACCACTGGAGCAGCAGATCAACCTGCTCTGATATCTATTTCAGCTCCAATTTACATCCTCTGCCACTTCACCATGCTCTTCTGTCTCCTGGTGTGGTGTCAATACCTCTGTTTTGCAGGAGACAACTCTGCTTCGGGGCACCACTCCTGCTTGGACCAGCCCTGTTCCCAGGCATTGCTGAGCAGCCTTTCTTACCAGGAGGTCACGGAGAATGAACCCCATTAACATCAATAGGAGTCCAGTGGTCAACTGCCTTGGCACACCATCAGAAATGTATGTATCAGTCTGTGGCTTTCTTAATTCCCAAATCTGCTACATTATTATGCTGGTGACTTCAGGCAGTCTCTACTAGAAGCTTCAAAGGCCCCTGTGCAATTAGCACATACAGTTGATATTACTCCCCAGAGGAGCATGATCCCTTCTGAGATGGTGTATGATATCTTTCATCACCATATCAGTGTAAAATACACTGAATGAAGTGTCAATGAGAGCACTGGGAACTTAGGCAGAGAGTAATGGCATACTGGAACATGTCAGGACACTGTGGTAAACCTTCTTTTTGCTATTGGGTAACTTGAAAAAGAGCAAACTGTCAAGGCTCTTTCTTCTGCTTTAGTCAAAAGGCAGACTCTTTAACAGCTTGGGGTCCCTCATACTGTGCTGGGTATCGTTCCAATACTGATGTACTGGAAAAATGCCATCTGCTGAGCAGCAGACCATGGGCTCCATTCAGCCTGATCACTCAGGCGTTGGGAGCAGTCACAGGGGAGGCAGGTGGAAACTAACCAGTCCAAGTCTCCTCTGGAGCTACTGGCTGACCAGAAGGGCTGTCATTACAGCAGTATTACAATCTGCCGAGAAAAGATAGTGGACAATAAACTACCTACTTCAGATGCATTCCCAAGATGGAATTTGTAAGAAAATGAGAGAGATGCAGCACAGTCCCCTCAAAGTACATCCCTGTCAGCCTCTGTCAAGCGCTGCCAGATCTGGCAGTCCTACAGCTGGCAAAGCTCAGTCTCCAGAGACCTGGGGACCTTGTGACATAAGTCAGCCGGGGATGATCAGAGAACTGGCCAGTGAGCCTGACTGGTGACGTCCCCACAAGCTTGTGTGAAGCAACTGTAGAGCTGCTCCACACTGCTCCATGTATGACCTGGAATTCACTGTGCATCAGAAGTTTTCTTGCCAGCTCTAACTCCTGCCCTGACCCAGGACTCTGCCAGTAGTACATTCTTCCCAGGCAACACACTGGACAACAAGGAGAGTGGCTTTCCCATAAAAAGGCTACTGGGCAGGCAAATGGTGTCTACCTACCATCAGAAAGAGAAGGTTGCAAATGATACACCCAGAGTTCCGTGGAGCTATGCCAGTTTATACCACTAAGCATCTAACCTATAAATCCCATTAGTAAGTTTAAGTAAGTCTAAGAGGAAATGATGTTAGATTTACCATAGACCTCATTCTTTTTGGAATTCTGTCAATGTTCTCCCTATGGGGCTGATCCTGTCACCCACGGCTGACATCACTGGCTGCACATCTCAGAAGCTTGTACCTGTAATAGTCACTGGCAAAAATAACTTTTCCATAATATTTTCTTTCATGTCATGTGTCTCTGTAAGGGTCTATTCTCTTTTCCCTCTTTCTCTTTTTTTTTTTCTTTTGATTCCTTTCCAAATTTTTCCTGTTACTTATTAACTAAATGCCAACTCACTGTGTATTTGGTAATCAGATTATCTGCTAATACCTGCCTAAAGCAGTCAACATTGACTAAAACAAAGGGTGGCTATTATGTTATTTTTAATACAAATTATTTCAATCCTGAGGCTGAGACTGAATTAAAGGAGAGCTCAAATTAATGAGGGGTAGAATTAAATTAGAAACATCTGACTGCAATATTTCCTACATCTCCAAACTGCCAAAAGAAGATAGTGGTGTGGCTGTGAATTTATGTTATCCCGTGAAAAGGTACAAAGAACAGCTTGTTTTAACTGCATGTGGGAAGTAGGCCCTATCATGGATATAGTTAGGCAAGCGCTCAAAATCTGCAGCAATTTTGAAAGGGGATATAATGTAACAGCAAAAGATTCTATCTGAATACTAGCCATAAGGTCACTGCTGATTTCTTATTTCACACAATGGAAGCTAGATTTCCAAAGTGCTATCTGTTCACCCACACCCTCCCACATACACATGTGTACACAATCACTACGATAGAGAATTGGAGACATGGGTGCACGCAATCCCTGAAACCAAAGCTGTATGCCACGTTTTGGATGCAGGCAAATTTAATACAGTCATCCAGTTATTAAGATTGCTTTTTCATAATTTTATCTTTCCACACTTCCCAAAGTGTCTTAATGAGGGATATGATGTGAAAACACTTCACTAGTTTCTAATTTGGATGCATTCATGAGTTCTAAATAGCACAGGGAATGAAGATTTCAAGCTTGCTCTCTACAAGGAGTGATCAGTGGGCTCAGGACATTGTCTGGACTGAACTGAGTTCCTCAGTTTTAAAAGTGGTATTTCTAATCCTGCTTCTTATCCTACTAATCATCAACAATCCCATTACTATTCCTGCCCTGAATCTGACTTCATCACAGAAGTGCTTGTGTTGCACTGCATTTCAGTCATTTTAGTGAGATTCTAAAGTGCTTTTGAGAAATGCTTTAACTGACTTCGATTGATTGTTTATTATCTCCCGTCATAAATGCTAATTACATAGCTGAGAAGACTGGTTTGTCTTTATTGCCATACTTTCACATAGAAATGGAGAAAATTAATTTTTTTATGATTTCAATGAATCTCCTTTGTACTTTGATCCAGTGATTGCAGAGAAAAGATCATTTCCTCCAGCATGGTTAAATGTGAGAGCCTGCTTTACAAAAGCAATAAGCAAATCAAGAGAAAATCTTGGCATCCTGAAGTGGTGACCTAATTCTATCCTTCACTGCATTTCCTCCTCTCTCCAAAACATCGTAAGTTCAAAATAGCTGCCCTTATACAGAACAGTTCTTCTCTCTACTCAAATAGGTCACTTTAAGAATAAAGGCCATAACTGCACATAACCCTCCGAAACACAAAACAGCCACACTGCTTACCCGAGCGGTGCATGGCTGGGCTCTGGAATGCTTTACATCTCTGGAAAAGGCCTTCCTTGCGGTAAACACAGCCGTGTTCTACATCAATGACAGAATGGCTTTTCCCTGTTGATTCGAAAAATCAATTGCAATTACAGTCAGGAAAAATGCCCAAGTTCAGTGTGCAACTTGCTGCACTTCAGACTCAGAGAATCCCCCTGCATATGGCAGATCTCTGGCTAGGCAAGAGTTTGGCTGCTCAAGGAGGCTGCATTTGGATCCAGATATGCATTTTACAGAGGTGCATCTTTTGTCTGCGGAGGTCTGAATGTAAATTAAGATAGCTCCACTGAAGGCCACAGAGCTATGCTGATTCAAAACATCTCAGAGCCCAGCTTATGGCATGCAGATGAAAGATACGAAAGGAGCAGCTGTAACATATTCTTGCATATGTGCTGAGTGTGTCAGATGGTAACACAGCATGGCCGTGAGCCTAGGAACCCCTAGACAGTTAAATGACTTAACCAGAAAACCTCAGAAGTCAGAAGCTCTTAACAAAAAGGCAGCGGATCCCTGGCAAAGCTATCCTATGGTGGGACCCACGGTTGGAGGTACCAAGGTTCAGTGGCTGGCCACCCTGCAACCATTTGCCTCAGCAACTATACCACACAAAGTGAGGTGAGCAAAGGATCTTCGCACGCCCCACATCAATATTGCCCTGACCCAGTGTTCTGGTTGTTCAGAATGGGAAGGGGTAAGACATGCAACCTGACCAGGCTGGCACCGCGTTCCTTACAGGGTCAGTAAACTCCATCTGTCCTCAACACCGACCTGCCACTTTCCATTAGGTTTGGGTAAAAGGAGATGCGTGTTACCCTCAAGAAAAGAACAACAGGATTCCTGTCCCTTTGTACCACTCAGGTTATTGGGAGCTTTACAACTCCAACTGTCAACAAGAGAAAAGAGAACAAAGGTTTATCAGACAAATCCACCGTGGTCAGGACTGTCCTTAAAAATATATTTCAAAGGGACTGTGTTATTGCAGTTAGGAATTTGCAAATTTGATCTTTTGCCTTTGTTTTCACTGGGTTTTATTGTTGCCTTTTTAACCAAAATCAATCAATAACAGTAGTATAGCATATGTTCTCCCTATTGCTTATATATAAATACATTTTAAAAGCCTACACTAATATATGGCATCTTTCACTACAGAGAAGTTCCCAAGGGATTAAACAAAAAAAAAAAGAAGATGAAAATATGAGCTTTCAAATGATGAAATATAGATTCCTTCAGTGGTTTACAGAGCTACTGGCTTCTGAATTTACAATGGTGTTCACTCCTTATCGAATTAAACCTCAGTATAAAGCTCTATTTTAACATTCAGCAAGTTCTCTACCCTTCCAAAAGATCCTCAGAGCATCCTTGCAGGCTTCACAGCCATGCAAGCTGACATATATGTCATGCCAGGTTGTTTCATCAGAAAGCAAAGGACTTTGGACACTCTGGGAGGGAGATTTTATACAATGCAGTATCATTGGCAAATGTGTGATCTCTGATCCTCATCCTTCCCTTGCCACTAAAATAGATACACCTGTCTGCTTCAACAGAACAGCTCATCAGATAAACTGCCGGCACCCTACTGTTTCTCACCTACAGTATTGACTGATTTTGTAACCAGCTTGGTCAACTGTGCCAAATTATAAGAAACTGTTTTCTAATGAATTTGGAAAGCTGCTACATGAAAAAAAAAAAGAAATAAGGCTTAGTAACAGCACTTCATTCCTGCAGCATTTGTGTGATTACTGCTGGAGGAAGAACTTCATATGCTGTATCTAGACACAGACACATGATGTTTTTGCTAAGTCCATGGGCTATTCTACTGAAACAAAGGAGATATATTTTCTTCAGTGGTAAGGAAACTCATGTAAGTGATTCAGAGATCCACAGCTGCTGAGGTGATTGCCTGAGATGTGTGGGATAGAGAGGATTTATGGGTTAAAAACATCATATTCCAGTCAATTACTTTGGGTTTAAGATGAAATAGAAATGTACTGAAATCAATGGTACTATGGTGTAATGCATTGGAGAATTAAGCTCTGAATCTTTTTGCCTGCTCTTTGCTTACAGGAAAACTAAAACCGCTTGGAGTCTAACTGTTTCGGTGATAAGACTGCTCAAAATCCATGTATCCACAAAAGGCACCCAAGGATGACGCTTACAAATGGAGCACCCAGTTCACTGGCTTTGTGGAAGTAAACACCAACAACTATTACCTTTCACCATCCGCACCCTACAGCAAAGTGGTGATCTAGCCAGATCTCTCCTGTGTTTGTTCTGTGGCGAGGTGAATGCAGCATTACGTGGGACAGCTGCAAAATAGAGGACAGACTGGAACAGTGGGCAGGAAAAGCAAAGGCACAGACCGAACTGCTGCCTCAGCAAGGCGGGAAGATGGGCAGCCAAGAAAGGCTAAGTGCTAGATCATGATCTATGTGCTTGCTGACTACTACCAGGGCTGAGACTGTAAACAGTGAGTTTTGCCTGTGCAGCCCTTCCCAGATAAAAGGAAAGCATGCCTATATAGTAAGACATGAGGAGGAGAATGCCACAGGCACCAGCAAACCCTCCTGTTCATCTGCACAAATAATAATGACAATAGTCAAAGTCTGGAAATAGGAATGAAAGCGTATTTCTGCATTTGTGAGGAAGTTGTATCTGGCAGTGAGAACATAAGGAGCAGGTCTGCTGGGGGATATCGACTGACTCACTGTCTACGATGTGGCAGGGTACATAAATCCCTGCTTTGGGATCCTGCTGTGCAGAAGTCACCAGATGGTGCTGTACATACAGACTTGAAAGTTCTTTGTCTTAATGTGGAAACACGTATGGTCTTTGAGGAAATATGTTGTTCCTGTTATTTTTGTGTAGCCTTTCCTTTAAAGTTTCATTTGCATCTTACTCTTTCCACCTCAAATCCCATTTTGGTTAGGCTGCTTATTCAGAAAAATCTTGTTGGGATTTTTTGAAGAGGCATTTACAAGCATGGCATTTGCAGCCAGGTCTGCAGAAAGTATGGAATATATGGGAGAAATGCATTAGCTGCACTAAGAAAATATTTAGTCCTATAATTTTTATATCATTTATCCTACAATGGGAAATACTTATGCAAAGCCTGAAGATATTCTGCCTCACAGTGGATACGTGACATCAGTCCATAAAACTGGTACCATATAATAAAAGAAATCTTCTGAGGATGTAGTGAGGATTAAGTAATACTAGTAAGATACTTAGGCTTTTCAGATTAACATAACTACAGAATAGCATAGCATTCTTATCTATTATTAATGTAACGCCAATTGTATCCATCTCCTGCTCGCCTTCCCTCTGAAATGCTATAACCACTCTCCTTCACCTAATCAAGAATTTTAACACAATCAGCACATATATTCAGCACAAATATGGATTCCTCTTTTTCTCCCTCATCACCCTTTAAAGAAGGATTCGTCGCATTAAAATATGCATTAGAAGTCATACGCACTACGGCTTTGAATATCAGGAGAACAGAAACAGACTGGAGCACCGATCCTACCGTCTCCTTGAAAATTTGAGCAATGTCCAGTAGATGGCAGCAAATAGCACTCCAGGGAGTAAGATACCCTCAAGGCGAAAGCCTAGGAGCTGCTAAAATACACTCCCTGTTGGCAATTACATGTTTTTTATCTTATACCCATTATGAACTGAACTCATTTACTTTGTTCTTTGCAGAGAGAGAACAAAGCCACATGAGACTTGCACAATGTTGCACTCAACCGGTGTATTACATGGTAAAAATATAGTAGCACTTTAAAGTAACTTGTCATTTTCATAAAATTTATAATTATTTGAATCATTTATTTCCCCTAAATGAAGGCTATTGCTATAGGTCCCTTTGCATAAATCAAGCTGGCCATTAAAAATAGTTTCAGGAGGAGAGCAATTTCATATGAAATGAAGGTCAATCTCATTAGATCACTGTAGCATGTACCCTAATAACATCCTGGCAGAAACGAGGTATCTCATTATGGAAGTTGTATTTTGTTTGAAATATTAGGTTGTCATTAAGTGAGCACTAAAATACACATAATATTGGATGACATAAATTATTCCCCTGAAAAACTGGCCTATACAGAAGGGCTAAAACAATGAGGAGGATACTACACAAAGCTTAACATTTTCTATTTTTTTCTAGCTGGATTCACCTCCTTGATACCAGTTTGTTGCTACTTCTGGATACTGAGCCACAGTTGGCGTGCTAGAATTACTCAGAGTGCTGATTTCAGACTGCGAGTCAGCAAAACACAAGTGGTAAGGAAGATGTTTAATTTTCCTTGTAATGGTTGAGGAGGACTAAGTATCTGGCAGCTGGGAAACAAAAATTTAGAAGGGAAAAGAGACATTTACAGAGTACAGAAGTAAACATTGCTGTTACAAATACAAGAGGAGTTACTTTCCTTTTAATTATCTTTACCCATTTGGAAAGTACCAAGTAGTTTTTTCCAGACCTTTCACTCTACTGGAACCGCAGCTGAATGTATGTATATGTTAAAAACACTTTGCCAATCGTAACCATAAAGGTCTCACCCTGAGCATTCCTAAGAGGATAGGCAGAATATCCATGGGAGGGAGCTCAACAGTTACAGCAGAAGTCCTGCTTTCCAGAAGCTCCAGACCTCCTAGATGTCAGCTAAAGACTCATAATATACTAACAGCCTCGAGAAATTGTGAGGAAATTAGAAAAAGAGGTTACATGAACTTCCTAGTACCATGAAGTGAACGCAGGCAAGGTTCTCCATCCATGGAGTATGTATGTGCTTTAACTGCAATACCCTCTTCCTCTCAGTATAATAGAGCTAACCATTAGTAAACTGCAAAGATCGTTGTTAAAAGGGGTGTGTACAAACACAGATGCTAAATCTTCGAACAGCTCTTAGAAGCTACAGATGGCACCAAGAGAACAGTTTGGTAGTGCTGTTTTGCAGAAGCAAAGGCAGCCCTGCTAACTGGTTTGTGACTATAGCTAGGTTTTTAGGGAGTTCGGGTTTTTTTTAAAAAAGATTTATCAATTTTCCAAACAAGGTAGAGAAATAGCAGTTACAAGAATGAAATAATGTAATGGTATTTTCTTCAAAAGCACTTCAGCTGCAGATTATGTAATGAACTCCGAAAAGGGTATTTGGCATCTGAGGCAGGAAGGCCCCATACTACCTTACAGAGATGCCCCAAGTCCCTGTGTCCCCCAAGCCATACCCCCAGGGTGTGCCACCACATAACCAAAATGAAGTCGTACCCATCATGTAATGAGGACACAGGGACATGCATGCTGGATGATGTGCCCGGGCAGTAGTTACACAGGCCAAAGTATAAGGAAGCCTATTTATTTGATTTGTCTTTCTGCCTGTCACTGACTTACTGTCTCATATTTACATCAGTTTTAAAATCTGTTTTCTTTGAGAAACACTTTCTTAGCAGGTAAAACACAAACTTAAATAGGTAGGGTGAGGGAGTGGTGAACTGGCTTGAAGTGGATCCTGTAAAAGGGAAAAGGCAATACAGATGTACAGAATATGCACATGGAACAGGCATGACAGTACAAAGAGCATTAAAGCTTATAGAGGAAGACCTTAACAGCTGAATTTTGAACAAAAAAAACCAATAGCAAGTGATGATGGTTTATATAGTGTCTGTTTACAGCATGTTAAATTCATACTAGTGGAAATGGTTTGAAAGAGTGCACATCATCATTCTTGAGAGACATGTGGCTTTAGTTAATAGCAAGAACCACACTGGAAATCTGTAAGGAATCATGCACACCTTTGGCTGAGAGCTGCAGGGAACAGGAACAGTCTAGATTCAGGAGAGCTCATCTGGCCAGACACCTAAGCTGTTCATTCAGGGTCCTCTATGTTTAATGGATTGAGAGGTGTCCCTCCAGATGTGATCCACTTCACCTTAAATACTTCCTTTAGGATGCGATGAACCATCTTTTCACTTTCTGTTGGCTACAGAAGCAACCTGGGGAGTAGCTTACAGTACCAGTCAGGACTATACAGACACTGGTGAATAAGGTGAAACACATTCCAGGTTCTTGGAGGGTGAAGTCTGAGGAGCATTTCTGCTGAAAGCAAATAAGTAACCCAGGCTTGCCCACTGTTCACTTCTGCCTGTTCATGGCCCTGACAGGTAGGCTGGTGCACGTTCTCTTGGGGACCATCCAGTGAACATACCGGGGGAAAAATCCAGGTTAAAAATACAACGTTCTCTTCCCTGAGTTATTTTTTACCATAACCTGCTCCCTCCTCTTCGTCTCCATGGTTACACAAATACTTATACTGGTATCTTTGTTACCGCCATGTGAAGCAGGGTTAGGGAGAATGGAGAAGCCAGCAAAAGGCTGCTGAAGCCGACAGTGATGCATAAAGGGAAATCTCATCAAACTATGCTCTGAGGTTTTGCAAACCTTTCCTTAACAGCAGGGCTCATTTAAGAAGTTCCCCTCCCCCAGCCACTTCTTCAGCATTGCCTAGCTGTTTCTGAATAAAAAAGCATCGCCCTCTCTTCAAATAGTTGCACTGGCCCAGCTGGAAAGGGAGTGGGGCAGAGCAGGGACAGGAGTGTATGCCTGCAGGTGTGGAGACAGAAAGGCTTTGTTAGCATGCTCTGCTGCCAAAGGAAAGGTAATGTTATGCCGAAGCCATTTTCCAGGATATAGATCCTGGAAAAACGAGCCAACTGGAGCTGGCAGAGAGCTCACACAGAAAATTTAATGATGGGGGAGTGAGAAGGGAAGAAGGTGCTATTTGTAGTTTGGTGGAAAAGATACCAAAGAACAGAATGGATGGTGCCATGATTTCTTCTTTTTTTTCACAGCATGAAATGGATGACCTGCACAGACTAAATTGTTCTCCATCATCAGAGTGGACTTTGAGGCAAACCTACACCTACATCTTAATAAAAACAATGTTAATGTACCTCTGGGAAAGCTGCCAATAGCAATAACATGTTTCTAAACGGAATTTTTTCATATCATGCTTTCTGTGTAGTCCTTCGGATCTATATGAGAATTGTTTCAGATTCTGTCTAACATCAGGCTTTTAGCTTCAAACTCTGTTTTTCTGTGGTGCTTCTCAAATCTGAAAGGTATCCCTCCAGCATGCCAACACTTACCACAACACTACAGTGACTGATATCAAATGTGTGTTAGAATAAATCAAATTAGACCACACAAACATCCTGCATGCCATCTGATGTATTTGAACAAGGATATATTAGTCCATAATTAGTTCATGAAAATTGTATTTAAACGCAGTGTGTATGTGTGTGTATGTCTTCAGTATTAAAAATTGCATTTCGTGTAGGTTAAGTCAGATGATATAACGAAAATATAATAAACTAATCTCAACCTTTTTTTTCCCCTCCCTCAGTCATGAACAGTTCTCATTCCTTCTACATCCCTCTGTGGCAATAAAATGGACCTTGCTTCCAACATTTGATCATTATCTGAAAGCTCACAGTGTACAAGTCCATCAAAAGGCAAAGAAATGCATGGAGTGACTCCTATGAGATCATTTGCTACCAGTGAAGGACAATTAAT